ATGGGGAAACTATCTTTATTTCTCTTAGGTCATAGAATAATTCCTGAAACCAGCAATGGCAACTATCTCTACGACAAAAAAAACAAGTTCCATATTAATACCTGAAACAAGATAGGGTAACTATCTGTGAACAACTGATTATAGATTAATACCTAAAATAAGACAAGACAACTATCTACATAAGAAGATTGAATATTAACTCGCGAAACAAGACGGGGAAAGTATCTTTCTTTCTCTTAGGTTAGAGATTAATTCCTGAACCAAGCCAGGGCAACTATCTTAACAACCAACAAAATCAAGTTCCAGATTAATTCCTAAAACCAGACAGGGAAACTATCTGTGAATATCTGATTATGGATCAATTCCCGAAACAAGATAGGGTGACTATCTACATGACCAGAAGAAGAAATCTTACACGGGTTCCTTCTCATGATCTCTAGATGCAACTTTACATGGGCTCATCCTGACGAAATATTACACGGGTTCCTTCTCATAATCTCCAAATGAAGCTTTACACGGGCTCATCCTGAAGCAATCTTACACGGATTCCTTCTCACAATTTTCAGATGCAGTCTCACACGGACTCATCCTGAAGCAGCCCTACACAGGCTCCTTCTCATATATATCAAGAAGAAGTTTAACACAAACTCATTCTAAAGCAGCCCTACACAAGCTCCTTCTAATATATTTCCAGATAACAGTTAATTTCATTTCCGCCAGTAAGTTACTACAATGCCTAGATTTCAACCAGAAAACAACTAACTTTCATCTCTTCAGTCCAGAGATAACACCTCAGTAGAGCCATGGATAACTAAAGCTCCTAGACTCTATTCCCCATAGGGTTTTCCTCAAGCAAAAGAACAGAAATTAACATTATCCAGTGGAGTTCTCCTCAGGTAACAGGAACAGGAATCCCCACAAATAGACCTCTTATGAAGTCAACATCTACTTTGGATGGCGTCTTTAAGCCCATCTCCGACAACTCTCAATCATCTTCTCCAAATGGCATATGTAAGCCAATTCTTGATATCATTAACCAATGATATTACTTCATGCGAGCGTAAATTTCTGGGCACTCTAGTGTTTAATCATCTTCTACCTTCAGATCACGAGAGGCATACAAGCCAATCTAAATCCTCATGTTTAAAAAGATTGAACAGGGGCAGCTGTTGTACCCCGAAATTTTCCCTCCCATTTTATTCAAGGCATGCTCATTAAGGTCATCAATTTCTCAAGAAGCTTCAAATGATTTTCATGGCACCCTATACGCCTCAGCATAATGGCACAACTGAAAGAAAAAACAAGTGTACATAACAAAGTGTAGGTCGAAAGCTAAAAATATGCCTAAGAGCTTTTGGGTCGAAGCAGCTTCGACAGTAGTATGCTGTCTATTCTGATGCCTAACAAAGCGCTAGGATCGAAGGAAGGATGGTTCGAAAGAAAGCATGAGGATGCTTTTATGAAGTCTTTGATTGGAAGAGCGTTATCGAAGAGTCTGTTTTCGAACCATGGATATGTAAGCTATTCGAAGCAGTATAAGGAAGGCACACTTTGATTTCCATGTTGGTTGAATTGACGCTTCAAAAAGAAGAAGATGTTGAATTCGAAAGCTTTGATCTTATGGTTCGAAGGACATACAACCTTCAAACATGGTGTGATCGAAGGACAGTTCAGAGATGAAGTAGCCAAATATGAGTCATCTTAGAGTTTTTGGATCAATGTGTTTCAGGCATGTGCCTGAATAGACAAGGAAGGAGTTGGGTGATCGAAAGTAAAATCCTAATGCTCATAGGTTACCCTTAGATTGGTGCATACAAGATGTATTCACCAATCTAAGATGGACTAGTGAGCAATAAAGATATTCTTGTAGACAAAAGCAAAGGGTGGGAGTTGGAATCGAAGAACCACCTACACAACTGTGTTTGATAGAAAGAATAAAATGAAGCATCGACAGGCCAAGATGAAGAGGTGATGCATCGATTGGTCTGATTGAAGGAAAGGAGATCAAAAGGAACAAGAGCTAAGTTCAATTGGGCTGATTGGATAGTTTTCAGATCAAGCAAATAAGGCAGATATTGACTCAATCAAAAAAGCCATGATGATGAGGCCTTGAACCATTCGAAGTGGGACTAAGAGCCATAAAAAAGAACAAAGTTTGGGAGCATTCAAAAGAGTCAAAGATGTGGAAAGTTGAAATGAACCTGTCCAGGTTCACTCAAAGCTCAAAAATGGTAGAAAATCATCAAAAATGGCAACTTCTTAAATCTTTCGATTTTGCTTCCAAAGCCATGGTTAATGGCTGATTCATACCATTTTCGTCAACCATCACACCCCTATAAATACAAGACAGGATTGTCTATCAAAGGTCCACAGATACGCATTGAACACACATAAAACATTTCCTATAGACACAAGAAGCTGCCCCAGAAAACCATACCAAATTTCTCAAAAATTTCAACAAAGTAGTCAAAATCGAAACAATCTTTGCAGGCGTCCTCAATCTAAAACAAGCATTCCACTCACTCCCTGAAGGTTCCAGGAGACGTTTCCAAGCATTAGGCAGGTCCAACGCACGCATGAGCATTACTCACACAATCCCTTTGTTGGTAACTTGTCTTGGATCTCAAAATCGTTTAACCTTTAATCTAATTCTCTTTCGATTGCATATTCATGTTATTGTCATTATTTATGAATGTTTTAACGTTATTCATGTGAGTTTCAGTGCCCAAAACACAAAATGCCATTGCTAGGGCATTCAAAATTGGTTCCTTCGAATATCAGGATTCATGGTGTTTCAGGATAAAATAGCTCCATATTCAGACTCAGGGGTTCGAATTAGAAAGGGGTTCAAATTAAGGGGAATGACATGGGTTCGACACCCAGGTCAGGCATTTTTTTTCTAACAATTGTATTCCAGATCCTATGCTTGCAGGTCTAACGTGCAGTCCATCATGCACTTTCAACAACCTCCCTCATTGGATTGAAAGACAACCTCCCTCATTAGATCGAAGGACAATCTCCCTCATTGGATCGAAGGACAAGCTCCCTTATTGGATCGAAGGACAAGCTCCCTCATTGGATCGAAAGGCGACTTGAGCCTCTTCTTGATCTGGGCCTGCGCTTTTTTTAAAAATTTACCTCCCCCTGTTACTTTTACTATCCGGGCCCCTTCACCTTTGCTTTTAATTGTTTTATTTTTTTATAGCATTATAAAATCAGATAAAAAATCACAAAAAAATATTAGGTTAGTATTTTCTCAACTAAATTAATTTTGTAAATTAATTGATTAATTATTTTAATCCTTTTTCTTGATTTTAAAAATTAATAGACTTAGGATTATAAATCAAATTTCTTTCCATGGTCAAAAACAAACAAAAAGATCTAATTTTTATTAGGCGTTTTAGACGTATTTTCAATTTGCTCGTTTACCTTTACTTTCTCACTTTTGCATATTATTGTATCTGCTTGCTGGGATGTATTAGACTTAACTAGGACTTTTACTTTTAGTGCTTTTTATTTTCCCCCATTTTTGAACTTGTAAATTCCCCCTCCCTGAAGCCATGTAATAGTTAGGATTTTACATTTCCGCACTTTTAATTTCTGCAAATTATTAACTGCTTAGATGTATGCTAACTAAGATTGTATGGCAAAAGGATAACAAACAAAATGCTAGCAAACCTAATGCAAAGACTAAAATAACTGAAAACAACACAATTACTCATGCGCACCTCTAGGTTACCCCCCTTTGGTTTCCTTCGGAAAATACTCACAACTCTCAAAACGTGAGAGATTTTAGGGGCTACCCTCCGGTTCAAAGATCATAAGTCCCTCGATGACCCTCTTTATGTTGCCTCGGTAAAAATGATCTTAAAACCCTGGGGTGGTTACTAGGGTTTCTTGCCCAGTTGCCTTTGTGACTATAAACGTCCCTTCGAATGTCCCTCAAAGATTCAACGATAGGACTACATACTCACTAATAGTAGGATAACACCGTCTAAAGGAAAAGAGGAAAAGAACAATCCTTTCGAGTAAGGTAGATAGCGAGTGTACACGCTGTATTCCATGAAAATATATAAAACAAATTATTTAATTCACCTGTCTTACCACATAGGAAGCCGTTAGTGGAACTTGACATTGGGGACCAATTATCCAGACGGAAAATTTTGAAGAGACCAATCCTCGAAGGAAAATTTTTGAAGGATTAAAAATAAAATTTGATATATTTAGAGGGACCTAAAACTTATTTAACCTTAAAATAAATTATAATAGGCTAGTAGTGTGGAGATTGTACTAGAGATGTCGTCACTTTCGATAAAGCACGTATCTTTATCAACATTTTTTTCTCATATAGTAGAAATTGTCATTAACAATTTATTTTATTCTAATAAATTACACGTTTTGAAATATGACAATTAATTATATAATATTTATTAGAATATTAACCTTTTTTATTTTGAAAAATATAATATTCTTGTATTTCTTTAATAATTATGCATGATTGAAAATAACATATATTATCATATTTGTTAAGAATAAATATAATTAATTTGTATGATTAGAATCTCACCTATCGTGAGTATAATTATATGAATTTGTGTGGTAATTGTATAATTAATTTGTCGGCAATGATACATATTTATATAAATAATAATTATATTTTATCGATATATTACTATTGATATAAATTCAGAATAAATAAAATTTATTAGTAACTATGATCAGTATCTAATACAAATATATAGAAGTTAAAAAGTACTTCGAAAATCCACTAATATCTTTTTGAGTTTATATTAAATTTTTTCTGATTTGATTTTAGAGTTATAAGTGTCTTATTTCATGCTTATTCACTCTTACAATTACTTACTATTATATTTTATTTTAATCTAATCTGTCATTTTGTTATGGTTTTGGATTATGTTTACTTATACAATGTAGAAGTTGGAAAGGGAAATGATATTCAAATTCAAATGCATCCTTAAAATTTGTCTTCCATCAAATCAATGGACTTTCACTCTGTATTAAGAAAATACTCTCTTTAAAACAATTGCTCTATATTATCATTCAAATTAATTCATTCTGCAAACAAGAAATCCCTCTTTGTTATTCTCTCAATGTATCACAAAATCACTGAACCCATTCCATGACAACAACAACAAAGTCATAACGATGGCTGCGCTGATTCAAACAACAAGGGCGAGGCCTCTGGTGCCGCCGCCGTTGCAAATGATGATTACACTGGAACCGACAACGGCGATGGTTTGGATATAGTTTTGAACGACGACGATTGTCGTGATGACGATGTTCATGGTGAAGGTTTGGACAACAACAATAAAGAGTGCTTTGAGAAGTCGAAAGTTGGCTCAGACTTTGTTACCGGTAAGTGTACAAATCTCTTTTCTGTTAAATCACAACTTAGAATTTTACTCTAAACCTCAATGAACTTTAAGTGTTCGATGAAATGTCTATGATGACGGTGGGGTTTTCAAATTTCCAGGAAATGAAGAAAGAAGTGCACCACAAAAGAAATGGACTTCATTTTTTGAGCTGTTAACAACACAAAACTGAAAAGGGTAACTTAAACCAAAACAAACGTATTGATTGTTTTTAGTGAACTTTAACAACAACTGAGTCACTAATTTATTCACCTTTTCTCCTTTGTTCTATTTTAGGTATTGTTGATGTCACTCAAAGTTGGTGGTTTAGACAAGAGAATTAGTTTTAGCTCTCTTTCATTTTGTTTATACTTGATCTGATGCAAACATCACATGAATTTAAGAATGACTATTCATTTATAAAAATATAACCAAGGTGTTTCTCTATAAAAATTAAAGTGAAAAAGAAAGTGAGAAATAAATATTATTTTTTTGGATAGCTTATACATGAATAATGTTAATGATTTATGCAAATTATTATAAAATTAGCAAGCTGTTGCCTTTAGATTCAGAAGTTAGTAACTTTAATCTTTTCTTCTTCTGACTGTTAATAGTGAGTAGTGATTCTTTGTTTGACTTCTGAGAAAGTTGAAGATCGAAAAGAGAGCAATATACAAAGATTGAAGTGAACTATAATTACACTTCACTGAGGTTAGTACAGTTACTTCAATCAACAAAAATGTTTAAGAAACATTAATATTTTAAACTTCAATTGTTTCTTTTGTGTTCTGTTTTTTTTCTTTCTTATTTACTTGATCTGCAATACATCAACTTTCTCTAATTATCTAAAGTTCCAATTTTTTAGGACCCTTTGATTTCTTTTCAAGTTTTCTATCAATTAACTGAATTAAGTGTGATTGAAGTTCATTTTCGGAAGAAAAAAATGATGATTGAAGTGATTTTGGGGTTATCTTAGTTTTCACAAGTTAACATGTTTATATATTTTCATGAGTTGTGTCATATGGAAACATGAGATTCTTTGTCTGTTGGCAGCACTTGGTGTTAATTATTTATTGTTTCAGTCAATTTTGGTTCCATATGGAAATGAAAGTGCTCCTTGGTCTTCTGATTCTTCTGATTTCAATCCTATGATGAAGAATGTGAATATTCCCATTATTGAAGATGAAGGAATGCACATCAACTCAAAGAGTAGTTTAGTCTTTGATGGTGTTTCTAAAATTGGTTAGATAGAAATGATTTTCACAATGTTGATAAAAACAACATCTTAGAGTTGGATAACGTCGGTTCCAAGAAAAGTTTTATGGAAATTTTGGCCAAGGAGAGTAAGGTGGACTTTCCGGTGAAGCGATTTTTCACGCTAATTGGATTTCAAATTTCAAATTTTAAATACTTCAAAGAAACTCAATGGTCATATGGTCACCTTGAGAAATGAAAAGCCATTTCATGTGAGACATTATATCTTTCTTGGCTCAATGCATACTCCCACTTTATCTCTCTCATTGCCAAAATAACCGATTAATTATATATCAATCTCCCTGGGTTCAATTCTCTTCACAAAACTTCATTTTGCACTGCAGGGTCAATTTGATCATTATTAGGTGATATGCCCCTATATATACTATGGGTTAACATAAAAGACCAAACAGTCTATATGTTTCTCTTGCAGGGTGTAGGTGTTTAGGTATTGGCTTGCATTTTTGGTAAATCCCAAGTGTATGTGTGAATGTCATGACTGATGTCATAACATTCTAGTTCAGTTTGTACTGACTCATTAGGTACCTTTGCAGAAAAATATTGTAATTCAAATACTGATGTTTATAAGTGTGTATCTGAGCATTTTGCAAAATGATCACATTTTGCTAAATCAGTAGACAGGTTTTCTCAGATGTCATAACAGATGTTATGACATCCTGTTCTGAACTAACAGGATTGCAGGATTGGATAAGTCTGAGTTTTTTCAGGAAATAACTCAGTCCTTCTTGAACAGAATCCTGCGTTTTCTGAGGGGTAACCTAGCTCAACCCTAACCTGGTTAATAAAGTCCTGTGACCTGGTCTTTAGGTCAAACGGAATTAACCCTAGGTTTTTGGAAACCCTAACTGAAGTTGCAGCTGCTATATATTCAACAGAGCTGCTGTTTTTCAAGGATGGCTTTTATTGATTAGAAGATCATTTGTAATCTGTATAGATTTGATTATTGTACTCCAAGCAATTATCATTGTGATAAGTGCCTTGGAATAGGTTTCTAATTGTAAGCGTTGTGTAGCACTCTAAGCTTTGAAGCAAGAGTGTTTGAATGTTCCTTGACTAAAGCTGTGAAGCAGAGTCAAGTTAGTTGTGTACATCACTCAAAGCTGTGAAGCAAGAGTGATTGTGTTGCTTGATTAAAAAGCTGTGAAGCTTAATCAAGTGTTTGTTTTTGAAGAGTGTCTTCATCAATTCTTAAGTCAAATTGGTTTATGTATCACTGCTGTGATTGAGGGGGAGTGAGTAGGAACTCAGGTTTAAGTTGTACTTAGATTGGAATTGCATTGGGTAGGTCTTAAGTGAAGGAGATAAACTGGTTGGTTTATTCCTGAATTAAAATCTCTTATAGTGGATTTCCTCCCTGGCTTGGTAGCCCCCAGAGTAGGTGTTGTTGCACACTGAACTGGGTAAACAATTGACTGTGTTCTTTATTGCTTTTGTATTTACTGTCATATAGTAAGTCAGATACGGTGTCATAACATTGAACGTGACATTGAGTATCTGCAGCCAGAATTTAAATTGGCATCAGAGCAGGCACCCTGCCTGTATTACTGGGTGAGATCTAGGGATATCACTTTCTGGCACTATGGACAAAGAAGGAGTTTTTGTAAATAGACCACCCATTCTGGACGGAACCAATTATGACTACTGGAAACCTCGTATGATTGCCTTCCTAAAATCTCTGGACAAAAAGGCTTGGAGAGCTGCTGACAAAGGATGGATTCATCCCACCATAACTGAGAAAGATGGGACAATCAGTCTGAAGCCTGAGGAAGATTGGAGTAAAGAAGAAGATGAGTTAGCTCTGGGAAATTCAAAAGCTCTAAATGCCTTGTTCAATGGAATTGATAGAAACATTTTCAGACTAGTACATCAATATGAACTGGCCAAGGAAGTTTGGGACACTCTCAGAACTACTCATGAGGGCACTTCCAAAGTAAAAATGTCAAGGCTTCAGATGTTGACCACTAAGTTTGAGAATCTAAAAATGATGGAAGATGAAACCATTCATGAGTTTCACATGAACATCTTGGAGATTGCCAACACCTCAGGAGCACTGGGAGAAAAAATGTCAGAAGAAAAACTGGTGAGGAAGATTCTCAGATCCTTGCCTAAAAGATTTGCAATGAAGGTAACTGCCATAGAGGAAGCCCAGGACATTAGCAAGTTGAAAGTGGATGAACTTATTGGGTCTCTTCAGACTTTTGAGATGGGAATCACTGATAATGGTGTCAAAAAGAACAAGAGCATAGCTCTTATGTCCAACACTGATGTTGAAGAAAACATTTCAGAAGCTGTAGCCATGTTTGGAAGATAGTTCAACAAACTCATCAAAAGAATAGATCCAAAGTCAAGGTCTAATGTTCATAACATTCCCTCTAACATTGACAGTTCCAGCAGAAGACCAAGGTCAGAAGAGAAGGGAGTTCAAGGCAGAGGAATTCAATGCCATGGTTGTGAAGGATATGGGCATATTCGAGCTGAATGTCCTACCTTTCTTAAGAAACAAAAAGGAATGACAGTTACTTGGTCTGACTGTGATTCAGAAAGTAATTCTGAAGAAGAGACTGCCAAACGAGTTACTGCTTTAACTGGTGTTTGTACCTCTGAAAGTGACATCAGTGATGAAGAGGTGACTTTTAAAGAACTGGCTGATACTTACAAATAATTGTGTATCAGAAGTACTGAAGTCTGTGTGCAGAATGAGAAACAATCAAAACTCATCATAAAGATGGAGGCTGAAAAAAGGGCAAACCTTGAAACTATAAGTCATCTAGAAGGAAAAGTTCAATTGCTGAACTCACAACTAAATCAAATGACCAAATCTGTCAAGATGTTGACAAATGGGACAGACAAATTGGAAGAGATCCTACAGGTTGGACAAAATGTGGGAAATAAATCTGGTCTAGGATTTATGGAAGCAACGAAATCTGGTTCTGGTAAGCAAATGTCAAAACAGATGTCTCAACACAACTCTCGACATCAGGAACAGAAACATATGAGGAAAAGGTACCAAAGATGGAAATGTCATCATTGTGGTAGATATGGCCACATAAAGCCCTTCTGCTTCAGATTACATGGATACCCTAATCAGAACTCAGGTGTCAAACCTAAGTCTAAAAAGGTACCACATGCTTCTCATTGGAAGAAAAAGGCTACTGCACTGATAGCTCACACTTCCCTGAGGGTCTCTGCAAAGGAAGACTGGTACTTTGACAGTGGATGTTCCAGACATATGACTGGAATCAAGAACCTCCTCAATAATGTTAAGCCTCACACCACCAGTTTTGTGACCTTTGGAGATGGGGCTAAAGGTGAAATCAAAGGAGTTGGTGATTTGGACTGCCCTGGAGTTCCAAGTCTAAATGAAGTACTGCTGGTGAAAGGACTGACCGCTAATCTCATTAGTATCAGTCAACTGTGTGATCTAGGATTCAAGGTCAATTTCTCAAAATCTGAATGCCTTGTAATCAATGACAAACAAGAGATAGTAATGAAAGGAGTCAGATCCAAAGACAACTGTTACTTGTGGGAGGCTGAGAACACTAATTTCTCATCTGTGTGTTCCATTGCAAAGGAAGAAAAAGAGGTGAAACTGTGGCACCAAAAACTTGGCCATCTTCATCTAAGGGGTATGAAGAGGATTATCTCCTTGGAGGCAGTCAGAGGGATTCCAAAACTGCAAATTGATGAAGGAAGAGTTTGTGGTGAATGTCAAGTTGGTAAGCAGACGAGGATGTCACACCCAAAGTCAAGACATCTGACCACCTCTAAGGTTCTAGAACTCCTCCATATGGATCTGATGGGACCAATGCAAGTAGAGAGTCTTGGTGGTAAAAGATATGCCTATGTGGTTGTGGATGATTTTTCCATATTCACCTGGATTAATTTCATTAGGGAAAAATCAGATGCATTTGAAGTTTTTAGAGAACTGTGCAATAGAATTCAAAGAGAGAAGGACGGATGTATTGTCAGAATCAGAAGTGATCATGGCAAGGAATTTGAAAACAACAAGTTTGATGACTTCTGTGCTTCAGAAGGAATCAGTCATGAGTTTTCTTCTCCCATAACACCTCAGCAAAATGGAGTTGTGGAAAGAAAAAACAGGACCATACAAGAATCTGCCTGAGCAATGTTACATGCCAAAAGACTTCCTATGTATTTTTGGGCTGAAGCTATGAATATAGCTTGCTATGTTCATAACAGGGTCACCTTGAGAAAGGGAACCTCATCCACCATATATGAACTCTGGAAAGGAAGAAAACCAACTGTGAAGTACTTCCATGTGTTTGGTAGCAAATGCTATATTCTGTCTGATCGTGAACAAAGAAGAAAACTGGACCCCAAAAGTGATGAAGGCATATTTCTAGGATACTCCTCAAACAGCAGAGCTTATAGAGTATTCAACTCCAGAACCAAAACCATGATGGAATCAATAAATGTTGTAATTGATGACTATCATGAAGAAATAGATGTTCCTTGTACTGTTGAGACATTCTTTGAGACTTCAACCCAACAGGATGACCTACCCAACTCCACCACAACAGAATCTGAATCAAAGGAAGCCAGCAAGATTCCTTCCATCAGAATTCAGAAGGATCATCCAAAAGAGCTCATCATAGGAGATCCCAATAGTGGAGTCATCACAAGATCTAGAGAAATCATCTCAAACTCTTGTTTTGTGTCCAAAATGGAACCAAGAAATGTCAAGGAAGCCTTAACCGATGAATATTGGATTGGTGCAATGCAAGATGAATTGAACCAATTCAAGCAACATGAAGTTTGAGAACTGGTTCCTAGACCTGAAGGAACTAACATCATTGGGACAAAATGGATATTCAAGAACAAGTCAGATGCTGAAGGAGTTGTCACCAGAAATAAGGCAAGACTTGTTGCTCAAGGATACACCCAGGTTGAAGGGGTTGATTTTGATGAAACCTTTGCACCTGTAGCCAGGTTGGAATCAATCAGACTCTTG